CCTTTACTTTTTTAGCCAGCACATACGGCACTAAACATTTACAGGATTTTCTTTATTAGCAAAATGGATGAGTCCTTCCTGTTCAAAAATTTTAGGACTTTCCAAAACTACTTTCAGCAGTACACAAAAATGGAGAGAACTTAGTGTCCACATTCACAAAGTTGATATTGCAATTTAGCTGAAGAAAAGCCAGAAGACTCACTTTGTATTTATACAGAACTATGTGCTGGTGGCGCTGCTCTCCACAGAAAATAACACCAACCATACAAGGTTCAAAACCCAACCGTCAGGAAAAGGGCAGAACAGAAACTTTCCCTTCATTATATGTTACAATGATTCCTTGACCTTCTGGCTAAAATCAGAAGTGTATGCTATAGTTCTGCCAGTAAAGATACTTTTAACAGCTAAGAATTAACCTAGGTTCATTTATAAGTCTGCCAAATATTACAATGCATACAATAAAACATTAAAATGAGGGACTGGGGAGATGGCTCAGTGGAATAAGCGTTCCTCGGCAAGTGCAAGGGTCTGAGTTCAATCCTCGGTTCCACAAAAAAAAAAAAAAAAACATTAAAATGCACACAAGCCAGGGAGATGGCTCAGTAGAATAAGTGCTTCTTTGGCAAGCAGAGGGCCTGAGTTCGATCCTCGGTTCTGCCAAAAAAATAAAATGCACACAAGCCAAGTGAGGAATATCTAATTTCTGAGATTTCAAACATCACACATTTAAAAATTATAATTTCTATATTCAAACTTTTAAAATTAAAGAGCTTCAGGTCATGTCTTTTACCATTTGTTTGTTTACTTGAGATAGGATCTTCCTATGTAGTACAGGATGGCTTTTACTGGCCTTTTTTTTATTTTCCTTTACTGCCCTTAAACTCACTGTGTACCTAGGCTGGACTCAAACTCATGATCCTCCTGCCTCAGTCTCCCAACTATTAGGATTATAGGTGTGCTACACCATCCCCAACTTACTGTAGTCTTTAAAATCAAATTACAATTTATATTGTACTTCAAATAAATTTAAATCTTCAAATTTAGAGAAATACTACAAAGGGGAGCATGGAGGCACACCTATAATCTTACCACTTAGGAGGCTGAGGCAGGAAGATGGCCACAAGATCAAGACCAACCTGGCCTAAACAGTGAATTCACAGCCAGCCTAAGCTACACAGCAAGACCCTGCCTTAAAAAAATAAATAAAAGAGAGAAATACTATAATAAACTAAATCAGCATCTCTCCTTTGGAATGAACAGGCTTGTGGATGTGTCCCAGCCTGGTACTTTCTATGTTTATGTTTATGCTGGTTTTTCCTCAGCCAGTAGTAGCCAAACCAAACCAAGGGCCTACTACAACCAGGCATGGTAGCAAACGGCTGTAATGCCAACACTTAGGAGGCGGAAGCAGGAGTGCTGTCAATCTGAGGCCAGCCTCGGGGCTAGCCACATGAGCGGGTTCAAGGCTAGCCTGCAACACATAATGAGACCCTGTCTGGGGAAAAAAAAAAAAAAGGCCTGGAGAATAAACTCTTATATCTCTTTCCATTCTATAAATTACTTCCAAAGGGCCAAGGATGCGATTCAGTGGTAGAAAGCTTCCCTAACTATGTAACGCCTGGTTCAACGTCCAGGACGTAAGTAATTTTCTTCAAAAAGTTGGTGAGAATGCAACATACACACAAGTTGATCCACTATAAGGAAAATACTTGTCTTCCATTTCGCACACTCCTTACACGCACTCTAACAATGGCACAAGTACACATGCCTGGAGTCTGTGTCTATGCCTGACTGCCATTCATAAGTCCTTCTGTAGACAGACATGGAAATCTAATCTACAGAGCTTTTTTTTTTTTTTTTTTTTTTTTTTTTTGCGGAACCAGGGATTGAACTCAGACCCTTGCATATGCTAGGGAAGCGCTTATTCCACTAAGCCATCTCCCCGGCCCCTCTAGAGAGCTTTGTAGAACGCCCAGCCGGAGTGGGCTCACTGCGCAATGGTCATTGTGTCTGTCAGGATTGGGCTTGTGGATGTGTCCCAGCCTGTTACTTTCTAATTCATCCCTGCTGGTGAAGTATACAAATTCACAAGAACGACATTCCTAGAAAGCAGACTTCTTTTAGTACTACAGGCTTCCCTTTAAAGATGATATGCACATGGCCAGCATGCACACAAACCGCTCACGCCACTCACTGTTAGGCAAATATAAATCAAATGCATAGTGAAAGACCACTCTATACCCATTATAATGGTCCTTGAAAACATAAAATGACAAAGCATAACTGAGGATACGAAGCAATCAGAACCCACAGGCATTGCTAATGGGGAAGAAATGCGCAAGTACTGTGGAAACGGTGCGGCCACTCAAGACATGACACACAATCCAGCAACTCTGCTTCTAGGCATATGCCACAGAAAGTGAGAGAAGAGAGCAGAAAGATTATTTCAACACCTGTGTTCACAGCAGCATCATTTATAATACCCAAAAGGTGGAAGCACCCAACATCCCATGATATATGAGTAGCTAGGCCGTGGTGCATACACATATCGAAGAGGCCGGGGACATGGCTCAGTGGAAGCACAAGGGCGTGAGTTCAATCCCTGGGTCCACCAAAAAAAACCCGAAACACACATATTGAAATATTCTCCAGACATTGAGAATGAAATTCTGACACACGCTACAATGTGGATGAACTTAGGACAGGATGCTAAGGGAAATCAGGTACCCAAAAAGGCCAAGTATCGCCTGTCCCCACTTATCATGGTAGCCACAGTGAAATTCATGGAAACAAACGGTAGACTGCAGATGACAGGGGACAGAGAAAAATGAAGTGGGCAGAATGTCAATTTGGGAAGACAGGAAGCTGCCGGAGATGGATGGCGAAGATGACTGCACAATATGAATGTACTTACTAAAGCTGAACCACAAACTTACAACTGGTACAGTGTGTATATGTCTATTTGCACAATGAAAGACAGCTGGCACAGTAAAGTGTGACAACATGCATCCAAATTCTCAGCACACCTTTCACTACCCACATAACCAATTCCTCTGCGCTAAGTGGTTAGTAAGGTTTTAAGTGTTCATCATGGGCTTATAAATTAATGTTTTAAAATTTCTTCTAACCATAAATGAAGTTTAATGTAGGCTTCCTCGAGAATATGTCCTTCAAAAAAAAGAAAAAAGAATATGTCCTTCACTAGATATAATGCAAATAATTATTACAGATCTACTTCACATTAAATAAGCTGCAAAAAATCTTGTCTCCCAACTTTGTATTTCTTCGTGCTTAGTTTTATCCCTAGAATTTCTCCATTTTCTTCAAAGCCTCATACATGCTGTTTCCATTTTTATTGGCGTTTTTTGTTTGGTCGGGTTTTTTTGCGGAACCGAGGATTGAACTCAGACCCTTGTACTTGCCAGGCAAGCGCTTATTCTACTGAGCCATCTCCCCAGTCCTGTTTCCAATTTTAGTAACAAAATCTTTAGTGAAAATCTTCTTGAAAGAGTTTTTGCTAACAACTAGACACATCATCCTTACAGCAATCATTATTTCCACTACCCTGGAATCTTATTTATGAATCTCCTTCCCTTTAAAAAAAAGTTCACACCAGGGAGATCTCTCAGTGGCACAAGCGCCCACCTGGTAGGCATAAGGTCCCAAGTTGGATTGCCAGGACAAAAAAAAAAAGGTGACATAGGAAAAAGAGAAACTTGAAATATCCTCTGCCAAACTTTGAGGATCTTTTCTAAGCACATTTCAGTTTTCTTAAAATATCTTCTGACTTCGCAAACTGCTGCAGAAGCCAATACACGTGAATGGACTCAGCAGCCCAGTGGTGCGGCTCCTCTGAGCGACTGAGCTCTGAGTGCTGCTCCCATCTCCCCGCTGCATCCTCAGGAGACCAAACCCATCTTCAAGGGACAGCCTGTTTCCACACTGTAACAGGTACTGTCTGACACATTTCAAATACGGCCTGTTCCTAAACATGAAGCAAGAGCAGGGGAGATAGCTCAGTGAAATAAGTGCTTGCCTGGCAAACGCAACGTCCTGAGTTCAATCCCTGGTACCACCACCACCGAAAAAAAAAAAAAACCATGAAGCAAGTAGATGAAAACTTAAAAGGACAAAAAGAATCCACATAGCCCATCAGGCAAAAATAGTTCTTACATTCAAAATTTACTCTCAATACACTCTGAAGAAAAAAAATGTATTAAGCAAGCACAATCATTATATACTTTGTGTTTGTACTATCTCCAAATAAGAATCTACATCATCAATTGTCAACTACAACAGATGTTTCCTTGATTTTTATTTCTTTTTTCATGGTGGAACCAGGGATTGAACTCAGGCCCTTGCACTTGCCAGGGAAGCATTTATTCCACTGAGCCATCTCCCAGGGGCCTCCTTGATTTTTAAAGACGCATTTTTCAAACATCATTTTCTTTGAATCTCCTTCCCTTTGAAAAGTAGATTTGTAGTTTTCACTGCAAACTGTGCACCCTACTAAACAATGAAAGAAAAAAATGAAAGGGCTGGGGAGATAGCTCAGTAGAATAAGTGCTTGCCTGGCAAGCACAGGGTCCTGACTTCAATCCCCGGTACCACAAAAAAAAAAAAATGAAAAACACAGACCCAGACATCTCTGTCATTTATATTTTTCCACTTAGCATGAGAAATACTCTAGTTTCTTTTTGCTTGTCTTCAGTCGATTGGACTCAATCAAGCCCCCCCGCCTTATTATTTATAACCAGGGACTGAACCCAGGACTTCACATATACCACTCAAGTGTTCCACCACTAAGCTACATTCCCAGCCCAAACTGAGACCTTTTTAAAGCTGAGGGGTACACCTGGTCACACACCACTTCAATGACACCTCCCAACCCTTCAGTTTGCAACACAGAACTTGAACAGTTAGGACAGTCTACAAAAAGAAATTATGTGGAGATACTGGAAGATCGGCTGAAAAAGAACAGAGGAGGTCAGAAGCCTTACCTTTCAGCAGTGGCAGAGGTGTTAACTCAATAGGCTTGCCTTGAGACCTAAACTGTGAGGAACTTTGTGACCTCTTCTGTCTGGCTTTTCTGACGGACTTCCGAGAAAATCCGTCTACTTTATCCACTGATGGAGGAGTAGTTGGTGCTGAGGACATATCCCTACTGAAGAGAAAGAGGTGTCAGAAACATGTTCTCAAGGGGCAAGGATCTATATCTAGTCATACAACTTTCAATCTCCCAAATGTACTATGAATGAACAGGCAAGCATGTGCCAAAGTAAAAGAAATCAATTAAAGAATCTTGGGGCCAGGGAGATAGCTTAGTGGCATAAGGCATCTGCCTGGCAAGTGCAAGGTCCTAAGTTCAATCCCTGGTACCACAAAAAAAAAAAAAAGTCTTATGTGAACAGGAAAACAGTAAATTTGATGGAAAAAAATATCATTATCATGTAAGTAGGTTTGTATCCCTAATTATTATACTACTCCATTTTTATAATCATGCATTACAAAGATGTTCATCTAGATTTGAATTTTCTGTCTACCCATTTTAACTATAAAATCCTTTTCATCTTGATTCTAAAAGTAATTTTGGAGCTATTCTACAACTGGAAAACTTCCAGGGTGACACTTTTCCCAAAATATGTAATATTATGAATGGGTTTTAGAGCTGAAACTCTTACTGTACTGTAAGAATCTACACCAATGTATCACAGCAAAGTGGAATTTACAATTACTAAACCTATCTGAGCAGGACTCTTAATAAAAGGTGCTGCATCTGCCAGAATGAACCAACCACCACACTGCAAATGAAGACCGGGGAGATTAAACAGAACACACAAAAGGCACCATTAAAATCGTTTCAAAGAAGTTTTCTTTTTGAATGAAGCCATCTTAAATTATTAAAGCTTAATAAACAAAACTATGATGAAACTAAGCACCAGGATGAGCCAAAATGTAACTTCATAGCCTTAAGACAACCAAGTGGAGTTTCCTTGAGGTTTTAGATCTTTAAGTTCAAATACCAATTTTCAAACCATCAAACTGATGGAACTCAACAGTGTTTTGCAATTTTAAACCCTCTCAAATTATTGAAATGAAAGTTATTTCCCCAAAGTAACAAGCAGTAAGCTCAATTCCATTCATCAAGTAAGAAGATGCCATCATTTCTGGGGTTTTGAGGCTCCACATAACATTAATGGTGGACTCAGAAATATTGGATACAGGGCAAACAAATGCAATTACTCACCTGTCATTACAATACATAAGACAAGTTTTTTTAACTCCTATATTAAAGATTAAGGGAATTTTTTTCCCAAATGTGTAAAACTAAAAAGTTCTCTAAATTACCTGGAATCTGACAAAGTAAAAACACTCAAGGTGGAAGTAGGGTAATGTCATGTTTGACGTTTTAGGTTAGGAATTTCTAAGTTTTCGGTTTTCTTTCATTTAAAGTTTTTAGATCTACCTAATTTGGCCTTATAAATACAGTGATTTGGCATGTAAGGTGGCAAACGCCTGTAAGACCACCAGCAGGGAGGCTGAAGCAGGAGGATCACTGCGAGATTGAGGCCAGCCTGGGTTCCACAGTGAGTTCAAGGCCACCTGACCTACATAGCAAGACCCTGTCACCAAAAATTAAAAAGAGTAACAATGTGACAAACTGGACCTACAAACTATGAACGCTACGAAAAATGTAAAAACACTTTAAAATAGGATGACTGCTTCAGCATGGGACTCAACACCTTTGAATGTTGTAAATTTGAGGGCGGATTTTACAATCTCGTACATAAATTATCTAGAACTCATTCTAACCCTACCTAACAACACAAGATTACAATAAATCCTGATCCTCAGCCACTTTCTGTCTCTTATATTCCTCATTAGCCATCTTCAGCGAGGATCTGTAGGTAGCTTTCTTTTTTAAAAAATCATTTTCCTCTTACACCTGAGTCCAGAATAAATGTCAAAGATCTCAAGCCTAAGCCACTGCAGAACTGAACATAGGCAGCAAAGCCCGGGGAAACAGGTTTCACCCGACCAGGGCGCCCGGAGCTTTATTATCTTCTAAGCAGGGGGCACCAGGTATTTCTAAGGCTCTGGATAATCCCAGGGTGGAGGCCTGGGAAGTGGCTTGCGTACAGATACTTACCTACACCCCAAGCTCGGGAAAGATCGCCGCTACTCTAAATCCCCCGCTTCCCCCCACCCCCGCCGGTGGCTAAAGGTGGACAAGAAACCCCCTCAAATCCTGGAATACGGAAAAACGGAAAGAGGAAGACCGAGCGAAGAAGATTCCTCAGAAACCTCCGCAGGTAGATCAGACAAGTGAGAGCGCGCACCCCACCCCGCCGCACCCCTCGCCGCCCGAGCCGGGCCTTCGCAAGTCCAGTGCCCCGCAGGCTGCTCGGAGAAGGAAAGGAAGCGGACGAGCCGCGGTGCCGGGGGGACGAAGTTACCTTGAAGCTTCTGAGGAAGAATCCGAGACGATCTGTGGTTCCGAGGGGCGGCAGAAGGGCGAGGGGGCCGCGGCGGCAGCGGCGGCGGGGCCGGGACAGCAGGGGGCGGTCCGGACGGCGACGGGGAGTCCGGGGCGACGGCGGTCCGGTACGGCGTCCCCTCGGTTCCGCGGCGGCAGCGGCGCCTGTAGGCCTCACGGCCGGACCCAAACCTCAGCGCTCCGGCGGTGGTGGCGACGGCGGCCTCAGGATCCTCCCCCGCGGGCCCGTCCCATCAAATCGGCACCGATCCCGATGCGGCTCCGCCGGTGGCTCCTAGCTCACATTCCCGGCGGGCGGCGCCTCAGCTCGTTGCCCGGGACCCGGCGGCGGCGGCGGCGGCGGCGGCGGCGGCAGCGACGTGGGGAGGGGGAAGGGAGGGAGGAAGCCTGGATCTGCAGCGGCGGCGCGCGGAGGAGTCAGGAGGAGGAGGAGGAGCCGCTGGAGCTACAGCCGCCGCTGCCTGAGCCGCCGTTCGCTGCCTGCGGTGGGTCCCCGTCAATGCCCCTTTCTCTCTCCTATTGTCAATATCACCAGGCGGCTGAGTCCATGGCACACGCGCAACCGAACCTCTTGGCTGATAGTGCCCGCCCCCGAAGCCCGCCCATTGGACACTTCAAACGGGAAGCAAGGCTTCATTGGCCGACATCCGCCTTCACTCCCGTGCCAGCATGTTCGACTGAGAGCTGATCTGGGATTGGCGGCGGGGGGGTGGGTGGGAACCACAAGAGGGTGGGAAGAGAGGAAGCCGAGGATTGGGCCGGAGTGTGAGGGACCCGGATGCAGCCGCGAGTCGGGGCGGCGCGGCCGCAGCTTCCGCCAGCAGGCCGGGTAGGCTGAAGCGGGGCCCCGCAGTATCCGCTGGCCTGGGGAGAGGTTCAGCTTAATCCCGAAGACGTGCGACTGGCGGGTCTGCGGGAGAAAGCTCTCCGCGCGGAGGCCTTTGGCCTGCGGTTCTCCTCGCCCAGAGGATTCCCAGGGCTGGGGTGGGGCGGCACCCCGGCTTCCCCTCGGCGCTCGGTGGAGTCCCGCCCGGGACCTGGTCCCAGCTGCGGTGAAGGCAGCAGGACCCCGCGCCAGGGCGCCTCTGCGTGTGTAGATTGGTCCTGGAAGCCGCTTTCCGCCGAGCCGTTTGGGAGATCCAAATTTAACCCCTGGGCCTTGCCCGGGGCCTGGGCGGCGCTTGCATTCCTCCTTTTCGCGGAACGTCGTCTGAGGCTCAGCTCCCTGGAGCTCTTGCGCGCTTCCGGCGAGGCCGGTGCTCCTGGAGCTCGTGCGGGTGGAAACCCTGCCACCTGATTGAGAGGACTTGCTTTCCATCTGCATCAAGTGACGAAATAGTTCTTGGAATTGTCAGTCTGCTTGAACACGCCACGGACATTTTTTAGAGGCCAGAAAAGAAAAGGAAAAGCAATGCTCAAGGCTAACGACAGAAGTCGGATCACCAGTAGTGCAGAACTTGGAAAGTTCAGGAAAGGGGAAGGATAAAGAAAAAATTAACATCACTGGTGGAGCACTTGCCTAGGTGTCTACTACATTCAGTCCAGAGTACTAGAAAAGAGGAAAAATTATTCATGCTCTCTCAACCCCAAGGAGAATCATTGAGCATTTTGATGTGGTTCCCTTCCAGTCTTTTCTTCCTTTTCTGTTAATAATATGCGCCGTTCTTTTTCTTTTTTTTTTTTTTTTTTTTTTTTTTTTCTGAACCGAGGATTGAACTGAGCTCTTGCGCTTGCCGGGGAAGCGCTTATTCCACTGAGCCATCTTCTGGGCCCCAATATGCGCTGTGGTATACACGAATATTTTTTTTTTTTTAACCTGCAATTGAACTCAGGACCTTATGCTTGCCAGGCAGGCACTGTGCAGCTGAGCTATATCCCCAGCAGTATGTGCCATTGTGTAACCTAGTTTTCCCCCAAAGCACATTTTCTGGTACAGTTAGGGAATAGAAGTGTATAGTATAAACAAAGCGCTGTATGCCGCATGCGCACGCGACAAGAAAATGCACTTGTGTTTTTCTTGTGTGGTGTTCAGCATTTAGATGTTGCAAATGTCTGTGCTCACTCCCAGACGTGACAGTTGGATGAAAAATAAAAACATTTCCTGCTTTGAACTGAAATGAGAAATTGGGATGAAGACAAGTGCCCCCTACTGACAGCTGACTGTCCCCTGCGTGGCTAATGCCCATGTTTTCAGTGGCCTTCTATCCCAAAGCCTTATAAAAGCATGTAGAACCTCAGTCAGGCTCTGACTGCAAGAAACTTACGTTTCTGTATTTCAAGCTTCAGGAAAGTTCAAGATCCCAGCCAAGGGGAACCTATTGCCTCAATTTCTGATTGAGGGCAAATACAGTATTCAAACCAGGAAAGATGTTTAAGCCAACCCCAATTTCCCTTGGCAGCAGTTAAACCATGAAAAAGCAGCGAACGTTTGAAATGCTCACAGCTGTTGCTTAGAACATTTCACATTTTGTAGAGAAAAGATTTTGCTTGCAAATTACGGATTTCTATAAAGACAATTCATTTCAAAGTCATTCCATTTTCTATAACATGGCTGAGCAACTGAGAGGAGCAGGGTTTTTGTTCTGGGTTTTTTTGTTTGTTTTTTTGTTTCTCACAGGAAATAGAACTTGTTTTCTGAGCCAATAATTTCTTGAATAGGGCCACACAGTCCATTTGGGATGCAGGCGAGAAGAGAAATCTGCTTATGCTTAATTCTAATCTAAAAACAGCACTATCCCAGCATTTAGGCTGAGGCAAGAGGATAGCCATAAATTCCAGGCCATCCTGGGCTACATAATGAGTTCAAGGCCAGCCTGAACCAGGTATGGAGACCCTGTCTCAAAAAAAAAAAGAGGGGGCCGGGGAGATGGCTCAGTGGAATAAGCGCTTCCCTGGCAAGCGCAAGATCCTGAGTTCAATCCCCCATTCCGCAAAAAAAAAGAAAAGAAAAAAGAATTGAAAACAAAAGCATTGAGCTCAACTAATTCAGTATGCCCAATAACTGGCTCGGATTCAGCCGGGAATGCTCCCTTGGCCTAGAGCAGTGTGGAGGCACCCTCAGGGAAAATGGGCGGACCCATACCCTCGGGTTACCAATGGGAATGCTGTCTAATCATGACCCAGCCAATGCTGACCCAGCCACCCCGTTGTGACCCTCTGCAGCTTACTGAGTTAAGTAATTTTACTGATTATATTATCTGGGTTAAAAACTGAAATGCACAAAACGTGAATCTACAAGAATCTTCTGCAAGAAATCACAAGAGAACAAAAATGGTATGAACATCTACGATCAAATCTTTGATAGCCACGGTTGTTTGCTTAACTGTATGTCATAAGTGGCTCATACCATCATATCGCAGACCTCATGTATGACAAATTTATTTTTAAATAAAAATCAGTGGCATACACCAGTAATCCCAACACTTGGGAGGCTGAGGCAGGAGGAGCGCAGTGAGTTTGAGGCCAACCTGACCACTTATCAAGACCCTGTCTCAAAAAAAAAAGTTAAAATGACACTCATGGGGTAGAAAGAGTCTGTCATCACAACACTCGGGGAAACTGGGGCAGAAGAATCAAAACTAGAGCCCTGCCCTGGCAACTTAGTGACATAGTGAGACCCTATTTTACAATTAAAACGAAAAAAAAAGACAATTTAACCCAAAATTTAAAAGCTAGCAAAATCCTCAAGAACACTATTTGAAATGTTGACTTATATCCACCTTTATTTACCTTGAACCTCATGCTAACTAGAACTGTATATTGTGAGGCCAGGCATATAGCTCAGCAGCATAAATGCCTGCCTGGCAAGCACAAGGTCCAGAGTTTGATCGCGGACACCAAAACAAACAACAGTATATTGTAACTAAATTACAAACTAGGGCTGGTGAGATGGCTCAGTGGTCTAAAGCACCTACTTAGAACAAGCTAAGCTAAACAGAACACAGGGACCGCAGTTCAATCCCCCAGCACCACATGCCAGCCAGCCCCGCCCCCTGGTGGGCTGAGCTGGACACACACACACATAAATAAATAAAAATTACAAATTAATGATGAAATATACTATGTTATTTATAAACAAACACATGCATTTGGAAATGTCCCTCTGGCAAACAGGAGGTTGTGAGTTCAATTCCCGATACCAAAAAAAAAAAAAGTTAAAGCCATCTGAGAGGCCATTATCAAGTGACAAAACAGATCAAGTGTTACCAGGTAAAAGCATGTGTTCCCCAAATAGCAAAGCTGGGTTTATGAATCAGGCTGGCCATGTGATTAGAAGACCTAGCCTATCAAATGTTGGCTGACCACTGAACTAAAAAAGAGCAGTTGGAGACGACAAACGAGCATCATCAAACCAACTACTAATAAAACACCATCCGCAGCATTAGAACAGGCTGCTGACTTGGCTCATGTTTATGAAGCTGGCTGTGACCTTGGCTCATGTTTATGAAGCTGGCAGGAACAGTGAGGAAGTAGAGCAATCCCAGTTTCCCCAGGAAAACAATAAAAGGAATATGCACAGAACTATTATAGATAGCTAAGTTAGGTAGAAATACCATAGACATAGGGCTGGGGAAAATAGCTCAGTAGAATAAGTGCTTGCCTGGCAAGCTCAAGGGCCTGAGTTCAATGCCTGAGTTCAATCCCCGGTTCCGAAAAAAAAAAGGGCTTTCCGAGGTCAGTGCAGAAGACAACTGTGGCTGGAGGTCCACTCACTGGAGGCCAGGCATCAGGAAAGGGAAGAGCTACTCACCCATCTATGTCCCCTAGGGATGCACAGCAGTGATTAGACGAGATCGGGCCCTTTCAGGGTGGTATGGCCATAGACACATCAGTGACTGATACTCTAAGTAGACATCAATTACCTTGAGGGGGAGGACCAGACCTCCTTACCCCACCCCTTCCCAGAAGGCCCTGTGCCTTCCTTGTGCTCTTGCTGCCTGGCTTCCCCATTTGATCACCATTTCATCAATGTTACCCAACCGACTATGATTTGCCATTGGACCAACATTACCTATATTACTTGTAATCTTATTCATTGATTACAGTTCTGTCCCACCTTAATCCGTGTCACCTCGTGGCTTTGTTCCTTGATAAGCAGAGCTGGTGGCAACCAACTTTATGGGCTTTCTTCTGTGCCTTAAACTGAAGCCTTCTTTCAATAAATTTTTCCTACACTTAACCTCTATTGTTGTAAAATTCATTCTTTAGATTTTTTGTAGTAGAAAGGTTGTTCTTTTATTACAATAATAACAGGTTTAAATTCTTGGGGCCGGGGAGATGGCTCAGTAGGATAAACGCCTGACTGGCAAACTCGATCTGAGTTCAATCCCTGGTTCTGCAAAAAAAATAAATTCTCCACTTATTTTAAGTACACATTTTACTTGTGCAGTGTGTGCGCAATCACTGTAAGCCTCTGTCTCTGGAGCTCTCTTGTTTGTATCAGAAAGTTCTCAAAAGTAGTGGCTTCTTTGAAGAGTCTATCTCATTAATGTAGGATGCAGCTAATGCTGCTCCCTCACTTAAGATCTTTGCATATGTAAAAAACATTAATTTCCTTGC